TTGTGCGCGGGCGTCACGTGTGCTCGGGGAGTGCGCGGCCGGCCTGCGACCACGACTCAGATGGCGTGCACTTCTCGTCTCCATAACACATACGTACAAATTTTATTGTTAAGTAGTCTCCTGAGGGGAGGTACCGAGGGATAACAATTTCAGTAAAAGCTGCATCCCCAGTTCTCAGTGAGGTGTCCGGAACACGATTGGCTGCTCCGAGGACAGCAGGGGAATTTTGCCAGGTAGGAAACGCAAGGGGCTATTGATTCCTTTGCCCATACAAGAACAAAAAAATGCGAGTCAAAGGAATTGATTGAAAAGAAGTCACGGCTTACTCGATGAAACTCAGCCACGCATTCAATTTGAATGAGGCCGAAATTCGCATGAACGGTGAAAATCGAGTGAACCGGAATTTGAATGAGGGATGGTCTATGCGCCCTCAGTTTTTTAAGGAATTTGCTGACTTCATTGATAAACGCTCACCCGACAGCAAACGAAACTCACCTGTCCCGCTCTGCCATGTGACCCGACAGAGGCCCTGACAGCTGTAGCAGCTGGTAGTATATGCAAATAGTATTGCCGGCGAAGACAAGGGAAGGGACTGGAATGTGGCCATTTCTGGCTTATTAGCCATCGTCAACCCAGTGGTGCACCACCGGAGCCTCGAATTCGCGACCTGTTTTGATCAGATTCAAACACCCTCACCATTGCGCCACGAGCTAGTTGTCTTGCCGGTTTAGGTTGAGGAATATTGACACTTGTTGATGGCGTTTGAATCTGCTCTAAAGGTCGCGAGTTCAAGACTCAGGTGTGGCACTAGGTGAGTCTGGGTATGACTGGCTGACGACGGCTAATAAGCCAAAAATTGCCATTCCAGCCCCCTCTCTTGTCTTTGCTGGCAATACTATCTGCCTGATCCATTAATAGTTCTGTTATAACCAAGTGTTTTCCTGTGTCAACGCCGGTTATGTCCCCCAGTTACGTGTTAGGAAGAGCAGGCAGAACAGGATAGCAGATAATACCTTACTGTTACTAGATCTGCTTGTACATCAGCGTTGTCTTCTATCGTCGGTAGCTCGTCTCGGCCAACAGCA